GTGGATTGTGGAAGTCTAATGGCAGTTGCTCCAGGTAGAAATCGAGGTTCAGTCGTGTCGTAGTAAACTGAATGCAACCCCAACTTAGTTTGGGAAAGGCTCGTAGGAAGATGACATCGATAATTTACAAGACACAGGTTAATAATTTACAATATTGTGTTATTGGTTGTCCGTGTGGTGACGGATTAAGAATACAGAGTGTCACCACCCCTATTCATCCCGTGGGTGTCGTAAAAGCCGACTAAGGGAAAAAACTACGCAGAGTAACAGCACCGCAGAGAGAAGGAAAACTTGACACAAACCCTATACCAACCCGTCTGGCCAGCGTGGTATAGTAGGCCAAAACCTCCTTTCCAAGGAGAGGCTTATGTCCAGCAGTGGACTATTAAAGGCTGTTGATGTGATGTGATGTGTGATGTGTTATTGTTTTCCAACTTAGTTCGTAGTTTCGACTGCACGGATGACGTGGTGGTTTTATTGGTCGCCACGCCGCTTACTACTACGCTGAGTGTTGTGGGTCCGATCCCCACATGGAACGATACTTTGTGTGATCCACAAATTGTTGTTCTGAGTCTAGGTGTTCTTTGTATCATATTTCATGTATGTTTGTCCCGCGACACAGGATATATTCCTAATGCGGGAGTCGTCTTGTAAAAAAAAAGTTACCTAAAAGTAAACTTAAGCCAATCTCTAAACGTTGGATGATGCAAAATACAGAAAATTTACCATTTACCACTCATTTGGAAAATTTGTACTCTATCAAAGTTATACGCTACGTGTTCACAAGTTAGTTAATATTTTTTTCTCTGTAAGTAAAGGAAAGTAAGTAAAGTTTGGAAAAAGTCATGTATCTCGGGATTAAAGTCGAACTTCTAAGATAAATACATTATTAATACACCTTCATTGTACTTTAGAATGATCTCGAAAAGTTGCTAATTAAATTAACAGACTTTGGCAAAATTTATACATCTTACACAGTTTGCATATACATACATCGAGCCATGCTTAACGTGGGAGAGCCATGCTTACCGTGGGAGAGCCATGCTACCGTGAGAGAGCTATGCTTCGGCACGAATGGGCCGGCTCGACCGGAGTGATACCACGGCCTCACAGATAACCGGTGTTAAGCAATACTTTCGTTGCCTTTCACTGAGTGAGTGAGGTTACCGGAGCCCAAATCAACCCTCCCGCTGACTCGAGCGGGAGGGACTCCAAGGGCGGCAACGCACTTGCGACTTTTGAGTTGCAGGTGTCCATGGGCGGCAGCAGTTGCTTACCATCAGGTGAGCCGTCTGCTCGTTTTCCTTATAACCGCTCGTATGCCCCTGTCATGGCGCCCGCGGCGTCCAGAGTGCCCGCGACTCGCGAGCGAGACCGTCTAGATTGCCCCGGCACAAATACCGACCACCCGTAAAGTGCCCCACTGTTTTTTGCGTTATCGACGCGCGCGCCGTGTACCACTTAATCGGTTCTTGTGACTAAAGTTTGTATTGAAAGGGTGTCAAGTGTTATATTTATTTAGTTGCCTATGAAATTAGCTAAACAATGTTATCTTTCTATTTACAGATTACGGCTCTGGTGTTGAGTTACACTGTGTTGAAATTGAGATAACGTCTTTTTAAGCTCGTGTTGCACTTCGAAGCTCATAGTTCAAAAATGAAAGCGATGACCTATGGTTTTTAATGTTTAATTATGTTGTTTAGATAGTAGTTAATATGTTATGAAATAAAACCATATACTCTCCCATACATATTTATTTATTTACAGGCCTCTAAATCCTTACCATTATCGGCCGCCACGCGGCATAATTTATGTAAGACTTAACAAGGCATATCGTACACAAATATCATTGTTAGGAATATAAATAAGGTATAACTATATAAGTAGTCTTATATTCTTTTATTACAATCAAAAACAATAGGGATAACATACACCACTTTTGAATAATATGAACATTTCTGAAACAGTTCCCATGCTCTCAGTAACATAACTTAGTTTTCCAGATGTTTTTTGTTCTACATACTAAACAAAACAAAAATAACATTAACATTGCCTTATAATACATTTAATATCCTTTTCATTTAAATTTCACCAACACACATTTAAATTTCACCAACACACAAAATAATATCACAAAGAAATTCCAACACAGTCACTGCACGGAACGATTCGAAGACTGATGAAATGACAGAAGTTTTATGACGTATAATTCTTTTTTTTACTAGTGTTTGCATGCTCGACTGAGATTAATACCATAGATAATATATCAGACTATAGAAAAAATATTACTAAAGAGCATTATGTCAATACAATTACTGTCAAATACTAATTAATCTGTGGCAGGAGCCATGTAGACTACCGGTCTACACGGGCACTTTACGGTTTTATTTTTGTAGACTACTAGTCTACACGGGCACTTTCCGTTTTTATTTTTGTAGACTGCTAGTCTACACGGGCACTTTAGGATTTCGTTTTTGTAGACCACTAGTCTACATGGGCATACTAGCGGATACTAGAGCTTATCTACATTTATTTACACTACGTGAACAGTATTTTCAACATTTATGTATATAAAGCGTATTCAATTTAATAACCGACACCACTTTCCAATACCAGCAAATACTCGTATAATTTCAACAATAACGACACATTTATTGATTAACATATTGTAACAAAATTAAGTAGCCAAAGTTATATGTTACATCAATCATATCACATCAACAGTCTTTAACAGTCCACTGCTGGACATAGGCCTCTCCTTAGAAAGGAGGTTTTGGCTACTATACTACGCTGACGCCAGACGGGTCGGTATAGGGTTTGTGTCAAGTTTTTCCGGCTGGAGACTCCACGCGATGGCTTAGCCGCCGTGGAGGCTCTCCAGCCGGTCATCGCCGAGTGGGCGAGGCGGCAGCACGGGACCCTTTCCTTCCGGCTGATGCAGGTGCTTTCCGGGCACGGTTGCTTCGGAAAGTACCTGTACTCGGTCGCTAGGAGGGAATCGAGCCCCGCCTGCCTTAAACAGTAATAAACTATACAGAGGTGTCCGTAATGGTAACAGTGTCGTGAGTCCAACGGTTTCTTCTCATCTCAAAAAATGTGTTTTTTATTAAACCATAAAATACATTCTTTTTTTTGTTTAAAAAAAATGCCCAACGCGCCTAAAGAAGTTTTCACTTAAAAAAATCCCTTCAGTTTACAGCTTAACGTTCATTTAAGGCAAAAAAAATACTCTGATGAAAAATTCTCAACTTCAGAACAAAAATCGAAAATAAAGATCCTTTTCAAATTTTCCGCTAAAACACAATTACTAAATTTACTGACAGTTTTCCACTGAGTAGTATAGATAAAAAGTACGACACCGACTTACATCTTTTAGCTTATTTATCAGATATATTTGACTTTTGTAGTCACGTGATAGTAGTTAGTATATTTATTAAATCAATTTAACACATATTTATAATGGCTGCTACGTAATTAAAAATAAGTTTAGGAATATGGTACTATGTAAAGCTACCACCATTTAGTTTCATTAACCAAACATAACTATTTTAAACGCAAGAGTTGGATGGGTTTGATGTATGTATATTTAGCAAATAATCACGCTAGAACGACTAAACAGATCTAGACGGGCTGCCAATGAAAAACTGATTGACAAAATACGTTAAAGCAAACGAATCAGTCAGTGGAAGCTTGTATTAAAATAAACCCATCTTGTTAATGTTGGTACTACGTTAACCAATGATTATGGTCTGATATATTTGTTGAGAAGCAAAGCAGCTCTCTTTTAAACTTTATTAAAAGAAAGATTATAAAACGGGCTTCTTCTTTCACACTTATGTATATAAATATTCTAGTTAACGCAAAGCAGGTGTTTAATTTTATATTCCACTTTGTGCGTGCAATACAGACGCCGCACTTCGAATACCTTTTTAGACTAGTAATTTTACTGTGCATATTCTGATATTGTGTTGTAATAAATGAATAAAGTATCGTGTACGATCTTGTTATATATAAATAGTCTTCGTTTTTATCAATAAATTTTTATTACCCACCTATCTCTGTTTTTAACAGAAATTAGACTTGAAGAATAACAGTTCATAGTTATTCGAAATACACAGCTCTATTTACGGTCTTATTTCCTCGGTGTTAGGTCAGGTGTTTTAGTCCTAGTTTTATGCTAGTGAGGGTCATATAATAACGTTCGAAGATATTTTAATACCTTACGTAAAACTATACAATTTGTGACTTTATTAGTTCATGGTTAAATAATATTTTAGCTTGATAAATTGCCTCATACAAGACTCAGCTTTTCTTGCATAGTTGTGTGTGTAGTTAATTGATCACTGTTTTAGTGGCGATAAACGTATATTTTAAATTAAAACTACTGAAAACCATCACATTATTGAATGCCGCCCATGTACACCTGTAACTCGTTGCCGGTCTTTTATACGTGGGGCACTCAAAAAGTTTTGAGAAACTAAAAAACCAACTTTTTTGGATAATATATTTTTCCACCAGCTTCTATACAAAAAGTTTCACGCGTCTATACAAGTTTCCGAAACACTTTTCCAGTCTGCCGCATGTGCACATTTTCCGGGGCTTTTTCGAACGCCTGTTAGCGCATCTTCCGACGACGATAACCGTATCCCTTTCAGTTGAGTTTTTATTATAGGGAACAAAAAGAAATCGCACGATCCCAGAACAGGACTGATGAGGGTAACCCAAGACTTTACCTTTTTTAAAACGGCCTTTATCCATAAATGCCATTTGAAGTAAATCCAATGACTCCTCTGGTTATAGACCACATTTGAAATCATAAAAAATCTTGGCACGAAAATGTTCCATTTTTATTTGTAAATAATTACATTTTCTAAAATAATTATAATCATACACAAAAAGTGATTTTGCAATACTTTCTGAGTGGACTGGTATAGTATTTTTTGTTATTAACGAAATACTGCGGCGCAATACCAAATATTAAAATTATCAAAATATCTTACCTGAGCAATTTGATCGAATCTTCCAAACAATTCGTTGAGTGTTTTTACTAGATCTGATGCGCTGAGCCGTTCAGACAGCGGTGTAAAGTTTACGATGTCAGCGTACAGAATGCTAACATTGTTGTACCTTTGTACGTGCATTTCATGGAACCGGGTTTGTTTGGAACTGTCTACACAGGCGTCGGCCATCTTGAGCATGATTGAGCGTTTCACCTGCAACAATGAACGAATAGGTTATGTTTATGGTGGTTTTTAAATTAATTTTAACTTTAATAAATTTACGTGGGATGAAATCCCACATAAATTGGTGGTGTGAATCCCTTAACACACATTTTTAGTTTTCACTTCTACCAAACAGCAATCGTTGAAGGTGGCCGTAGCCTAACCGATGATGTTGAGTAGTTACATATATGTGTGGCGACTTCTAGATACGATGAAGCAAAGAAAAATACTACAGCGCCATCTAACGAAGACACACCGAACTACGGATTAACTCCTGAATGAGAATTGCTAATCCTGTATTACGATATGAAGAATTCTCTCTCCGATTAGCATATATACAACTTCCCAACATCAACCGTTGGTCCGCAGCCCGACAGACATGATCACCTCGCCTGTTTGGAGGATCCTGCCTTTGTGTTGGAGGGACATGACACCCGTTCCTCCACATATGTAGAAACTGTAGTTACTCTGTAGCTCGGTTTTTCTTCGCGAGATTTGTTTACTGAAGTTGGATGCCCACATCTATATTAATTGCAATTTAATCTCTCCGGAGATTTGAGATTGTTATGAAAACTAATTGGGTCGTTAGGGGTCTTACCACGCGTTGGAACAAATTTACCTAAATACTATTTTATAGTAGAAGGAAACATGCTTTGTATTGGAATTAAAAATTGTTTACTTTTTAGAAATTAGCTGGGAAGAAATGAAAAGCGAAATATATAGTAATATTTCTCTAGTTAAAGAATTAATTATAATAAAAAAAATATTTTACTCATTTGAAGCCTATCGGATTAGTGGTTTCGCACCACCAAGACAATTGTGTAGTGGCCACGATCATCTGTTCTGTGTCTCGGTGTAATTTTTATTATGTACATAACATACGTATATTACAGATAAATTAAATTGTATAATAATATTTTAAAATACGTATTTAAAAACATATTTTTGATGATTCCCCGGTCATTTACTCGTAAATCCCCGGGTTACATTCTTCCAACTGTTAACATACCTATCTGTTTAAACTTATTTGATAATATTTATGATACTTATTAACCTGGTTAAGATTTTTCTTATCTATGCAAAATAAAAGTATCCAATCTACAGATAAGATACCTATATTGTCATGTCCTAAAATTGTGAGTGAATCGCATCAGTTGCCGCAAACAAAAACATAGTCTCATTATGTGACTCAATTATTATGTGTAATATCTAAGATAGTATTTTATTTAATTATTTAAATCTTACAAAATCATGATTCTAAAGTTAAACAATGCAATTGTTAAGTTGCATTTTTTATATTTTTATCTATGCACATTAATTAACAGATCATACCTCTTAAACTAGGTATAATCCTGTATCTTAAAATATATATTATTGTACATAATTTAAGCATGTAGGATTATGTAAAGCAAAAAATAAAATTTGTACTGTAATAATAATAATAATAATATAATAATATTCTACCACATACACACAACGCCATCTAGTCCCAAACTAAGCAGAGCTTGTACTATGGGTACTAGACAACTGATATAAATACATATATACTTTTTTTTTTTTGTAAATACATACATATTATACATAGAAACACCCAGACCAAATCAAACATCAAATGTTCATGCACACAAATGTTTGATTTGAGCGGGAATCGAACCCGCGACTTTTGGAATAGCAGTCCGCTACACAAACCACTACGCCATCCAGTCGTCTATATATCCGTTATGTACCTATGTGTTGCTTTAAAGACTTGTTCGAATGTGAATGAAAAAGGAATGTAAAGAATGATATATAATAATAAGGTTTTAAATATACTGTAAGTTTGCGCAAGATTGCTGGCAGGAGCTGGATGCGAGAAGCCCAAAATCGATTTAAGTATTGTGCAATGGAAGAGGCCTTTGTCCAGCAGTGGACTGCGGTAGGTCGATGATGATGATGATGATATCGCCCTCCTATAATATGACTGTTACATTCTTTTGGTATAGGGGGCAAACCAGAACCCTCTGGCGAAGAAGGCGAAGGGAGTTTGGGTTCACCAAATCTGTGAAAAGCAACGATAGAATTGCCTACAGAAAATAAAACATTTAAATAATATCGTTATTTCAAAGATTCGATTACTAAACTCAATTCAAAACTTTTCATTTTCTAAGTGAAGTGTAGCAAAATAAAATATACCGAATATAAGAGAAGCCTTTGTATAGCGCCTGCCAGAATTGTGCGGTCAATATGTATTTCTACACAATCACATTGGAATTCTGTAAGGTAAAGTTGTTCTTTTCACTCTATTGGGCGCTTGTCATTACTTGAAAAACATCATTTACTGTCATAAAAAGTTATCTTTTTAGATATATTCAATGAATAGAACAGAAATTGTAATAATGTAACCTGATACATTCTATAGTGACTTGTGACGTGATATTTTTAAATAGAAACTTCGACAAAAATGTGATTCCTTTTTTCTTTTTTCAGTTAACAGTCCTAATAATACGTATGTTTTTTGTTTTTTGTTTACAAAAAAACCGCTCCCGCATTAGGAATATATCCTGTGTCGCGGGGAACTTTACAAACATACATGAAACGGACACCAAGAACATCCAGACGCAGAGCAAAAATTTGTAGATCACAAAAAGTGTCGTCCCATGTGGGGATCGAACCCACAACACTAAGCGTAGTAGGTAGGAAGTGGCGTCTTAAACCAATTCGCAATTCGTGCAGTATATTTAAATACAGAAGTATTAGGTATAATATACACAACTAAGAGGTCACTCTATGAAGTCTCCGACTTTAAAAAAAAAACTGAGAAGATTTACTTGCATAAATAAATATAATTTATCATTTATGAAGCTTAGCAAGCATCGGTGCACTAACAATCCCAAAAAACGCATAATTATGTTTAACTCTTTGCCGGAAACTGTGATAAGTACTCTGAATATGAATCATCAACAGCCTTTAATAGTCCACTGCTGGACATAAGCCTCTCCTTAGAAAGGAGGTTTTGGCCTACTATACCACGCTGGCCAGACGGGTTGGTATAGGGTTTGTGTCAAGTTTTCCTTCTCTCTGCAGTGCTGTTGTTCTGCGTAGTTTTCTCCCTTAGTCGACTCTTACGACACCCACGTGATGAATAGGGGATTATAAACATTTAAAAACACAAGTATAATGATATACACGCACCAGCCTTAAGCTGATAGTATATTAAATATAATATTAATAATGAGAATAATAATTTCAACACCCCTTCCTCTAGCTGCCTAGTCCAGATTTTTAGCCCAGCCCTTGAGGTACAAATACGCTATTTTTCTTACAATTAAATCAAAACAGACTACCTATAAAAAAGAAGAGTCTTTATTATTGTATAAAATTTATAAAACAACCTTTGTTATTGTATATTGTGGCGACTTCCACATACAAGTGCCCATCAATAATTGTTGAGTCGCGGCCCAACAGGCATGATCACCTTGCCTGGTCAGAGGATCCTCTATTTGTGTTGGAGGGATATGAGACCCGCTCCTTCACAGTATCATTTAATAGAATAGAGAAATAACAAAACATGAGGATGACAATGATGAAAATGATGATAAATTTATAGTTTTACTTTATAAATATTTTGAAATACATTTTCCAAAACTTTTTTTTCTTAATCCTGTTGTAACGTAAATACTCGTATCATTTCAAGGCTCATAACTTTATAATCCCTAAAACATATTCAAACTCGTAAGAGATTTAAAAGTACGTATTTAGTATTAGAATCTATTTACATATATAAAAAGGTTTGTGTAGGCTTCACAAATTCTAAAAGGTCTTCACCGATTGAGCTGAAATTTTGACACGATATACAACCCACTTCATAAAAGGTTCTTCCCCGACCAAAAAACGACGGTTTGTTATAAGTTTGACGTGTCTGTGTGTGTATTTCTCTGTGGTATCATAGCTCAAGAACGGAAGAACCGATTTTGATTTAGTTTTTTTGTTTGAAAGGTCGGGAGTGTTCTTAGCTATGTTTGATGAAAATCGTTCCAAGATGGCAGCCGCATCAAAATGGTGGATTACATATTTTTTCACAACTCCCTCAATATGGGTATCAAATGAAAGGAGTAGAATACTATACACTATGTGCAATGGGAGAGGTCCTATGTCCAGCAGTGGACTGCGATAGGCTGATGATGATGATGATGACAAATTTTAAATCCAAGATGTGTCAGGGTTTTTAAATTTTTAATTCAACCATAATGTAGTGGAAGTGAGGGCAGTGGCGTGGCAAGGTACAGCTAGTTAATAATAAAATTAGACAAAAAACAGATTAAACAATATTGGTAGCGAATGAGCACGATCATTTTTGTGTCTGGGTATAATATGTATGTATTTAGAAAAATATGTTTATGAGCAGGCTGGTTACCATACTGCGGGCTCTACCTAGTTTGGAATCAGACTTCTGTGTTTGAGATGTGTGAAGTGATTATTATAATTTTTGTAAAGGAAAGTGGTAATGGTTTGTTTGTTTATCAGGAATGTTTACACACGAGCCAATGGTGAGTGTTCACCCATCACCTACTATTGAAACCTTCATAGAAATGATTTAATTCGTGCCTTAGTCATAATACCCGTACTATAACAAACTTGACCTAGATGACATCAGTTGCAATATCTCGATGGAAAATGAGGAAAAAATAAGGATAAAGGATTTAATAATTTGCAATAAATTGCCCATTTTTAATGTTTTGTTGTGGAGGAAACAAACATTATGATAAATTTGCCTTTAAAACATTTTTATTTATACTGCTGTAGAATCGATAATAAATACTTTTGTCGAGTATTTTTTTTACATGTAGGTATTATTTAAATTGCACGGATAGCGACTACGCCATCCGTGCAATCATCGTTTGATTGCACGGTAGGCATTGCTAGGTTTAAGCGGTCGCCACGCTGCTTTCTACTGGGCCGAGTGTTGTGGGTTCAAACCCCACATTGGACAACACTTTGTATGATCCGCAAATTGTTGTTCTGAGTCTGGGTGTTCTCTGTGTCCATTTCACGTATGTTTGTAAGTCCCACGACACAGGATATATACCTAATGCGGGACTTGTCTTTTTAAAAGAAAAAAAATGTAAATCGGTTTCTAGTTTCTTATTTACTATTATAATTTAAATTATCTATTTAAGTAATGTATTAGCTTTAGACATGTTAATCGAATTAATCTACTTGTAATACTAAAACAGCCAGAAAAAATATATAATTATTTCCTTTTCTTTTTGTTACATGTAAACTAATCTTAACGAAAGTTAATCGGTAATTTTAAGATAATCATTCTAATTAGTTCAATGAACTTAGAAGGTAATTCTTAATTGAAATATAACATATAACGTTTTACTTCGAATTGCGTTATTTTAACTTCCAACCGAGTAATAGTTGACGTCAACATGCAGAGAACACGTAAAAACCTTCGACTGATGAATCGAAACACGCATAATACATTTTTCCTAAACGTTCTGAAATATGACGAACATATAATGACATATCATGTTTTTCTGTAAAACAAAACAAAAAAACACCAAAGGGAAAATACATAAAAAGAACTAAATTACGCTGCATAATGTCACACCTCTGAATCATGTTTGAACCCACGCAAGAGTTCACAACAAGTAATGATGATTAAGGCCGGATTCACCAAGAAGGCGTGGTGATGCGTCTGTCTGGTGGTTTCAGTGACCTCACTATGACGTACGTATTAGGTATGAATTGGGGCCAATCCGAGACATGTATGCGTTTTAATTAATATGTATCTTTCGTGTATCTACAATTAAATGAAGGAAATAAGAAATAAATGAGGCAATGTGTTATACATGTGCTGTGCAATTACGTTGCCAAGATTTAAAATAAACTCCAGCTAGTCAAAATAATACTCATAATGACTTATTCAAATTAAGAGCAAGCAGATGGCTTTTGAAAATAACATACAAAAATTACAGTAAATAGTATTAGCAGTATAATTTCGCGATAATTTGTACCTTATTTCGTAGAAGCAAAAGTCGCTATTGCCTTTGAAATATTCATAATGACAGGGCCTTGTCCACGTAAGCATATTCATTTATTTAATATGTACCTATGTCTTGATAATAAATATTTAAATACCGATCGATATGTTGTAGGACGTAACCCTGACGTCACCGACCGGTCATCACGATCTGTCCCACTTTCACAGTACAGTGATAATTGCAATTCCGTTTTTAATCTCAAGGACATACCTCAGTTGGTCAGCGAAAGAAATTCGCATTTACTCAATTACTGATTTTATAACAAATTAAAAAAGGACCAAAGAGTGTTAAGTAAATGTAGAATATGGTGACGTCACAATGTTACTTCTATATGTCAAGCTCATTTTTGTGATTGTATTGAATGACCATAGCAGTACTCCAACGATACCATAATCAATAAAATAATCGATAGCTCTTATAGGTTCAAATATATATTTTTTTTTATAAATCGAGAAGTTGTAAAGCAACGTTACATTTAAACGTAAAAAAAAAAATTATTTACTTCATGCTTAAGTTTATGCGTGAAGTAATACTGTCCGTGATGTGACGGATTAAGAATTCAGAGTGTCACGTTCCCTGATTGATCCCATTAGGGACTAGTGGAGCAAACTACGGAGGACAACAGCTCTGCAAAAAAAAACTTGAAACAAACCCTATACCAACCCGTCCGGCCAGCGTGGTATAGTAGGCCAAAACCTCCTTTTTAAGGAGAGGCTTTTGCCCAGCAGTGGACCATTAAAGGCTGCTGATGTGATCTGATGATGATGTTATAAGTTTATGCAAGTTTATGCGTTTATGTTTATAACGTGGCTTCTATACATAATAATAAATAATAACATTTGGTAATATGTGAAAAAAAATCCCCACCCTTTCGGGTTGAGTATATAGATAAGATAAAAAAAATATTAAATATTTTGTTCCATACGAAAAACATGTAATAGGAAGCGTACCAATGCACCGGAAAAATCTCATGTTGCCAGTTTATAATATAGATTAACAATAAAATATCAAACAACGTGCAAATCGATTGTTAAAATCGTGAGAGCGGGACAAACATATATCATTTACACACGCAAACGGTCGTGAAAAATGAACACTTCCGTTAGAATGGTAAGAATGAAGGTCGGAATCAATCCTAAGATATTTACATATCAAATTAACTGTGATGAATATTCAGCTGTTTTTAAAGGAATGCTTCTTTTGCTCTTTCAGTTTTTTTTAAATGTTTCTTGTATAAAATAACGATAAAATTCTATTATACGTTCCTGTTTTTCATTTCTAGAGTTAAATAATAAGATAACTTCACATCGAATCAATAATTAAAAAATTAATTATAAAGTCATATACGTAAAATCGTTAAAATATGATTGTTTGCCGTGAGGTCGTTGGACATGGTCTTGCATTGTTTCATACATTTTTCCGGCAACAAATAGTTTTTAGCATATTTTTTCTGATTCTTCAGAACAACTTAAATAACAATTTCCAAAACTACAATATCGAAATATATGTAAATAAAAATATTATGATATACCTGCCATGCCATGTCCCTCACTGGATGACCAAAGATCGACTGGTATATAATGCCATGCGGCATTAAGTCCGACTAGTGCAATGTAAGTGCAGGAAATTTTAAAGAAATTAAATAAATATTTTGGGCCTTTATAGATGAAACGTATCGTATTGATCCGTTTCATCTATAAAGGCCCAAAATTTGAAACAAAAGAACACGTGCATTAGTCAGTAAAATGCATTTTAATAACGGTACTTTCATTTGTTTCAACCGCATTGATACGTTTCATCTAAACATATCAACGTAGTTGAAACAAAAGAACACGTGCATTAGTCAGTAAAATGCATTTTAATAACGGTACTTTCATTTGTTTCAACCGCATTGATACGTTTCATCTAAACATATCAACGTAGTTGAAACAAAAGAACACGTGTATTAGTCAGTAAAATGCATTTTAATAACGGTACTTTCATTTGTTTCAACCGCATTGATACGTTTCATCTAAACATATCAACGTAGTTGAAACAAAAGAACACGTGTATTAGTCAGTAAAATGCATTTTAATAACGGTACTTTCATTTGTTTCAACCGCATTGATACGTTTCATCTAAACATATCAACGTAGTTGAAACAAAGGGACACGTGCATTAGTTAGTAAATTGCATTTTAATAACGGTACTGTAAAGTTTTTTATTCACCACAAAATAAATCAACTTTAACAACAACAACATGACATGACAATTGAAATAGAAAATAAAACATTGTTTCTTTTCTTCTTGATCTGCTTTTAGAACCTTGTTTTATTTAAGGTTAACTAGTTTAAAAAGAGAAGAAGAAAGCGATGTATTCTTAGCAGCTAGCTTGCTTGACCGTATTTAAGGATATTGGAGAAAGTTTGGGCAATATTCCTATACAAAAGACATTGTGTTGCGTAAAGATAATGATACATGATATTGGGGAACGCTCCCGAAAACGAAGACAGACGATAGCATGAATAATGCTAATAACAAATTGTAAAAATACGTTTTTTGAAATGACGTCGTTATTTTTCTGACCCATCATCATTGCTTTCGTGTGTCATCGTTTTCGGGAGAGTTTTTTTCTAACACTTGTACATATGCAGTGTTATACGAGTAATGTTTATTATTGCTCATCAGTGCGTCACAAAACTTTTCTTTTCAATAAGGCTCATTGCTACGTGCCTCAGTTCTTGTACGATCAACCAATATGTCTCGTTCACGTCATTATAACGGTGCGCCATCAGCGGCCCCAAATCAGATATGACAAACGGACGGAATAAATCAAGAATAGTGTCCATGCCAAAAATGGCCTTGTCAAACTGAGTGAACACGAATGCATTAGAATACGGTTGTGGCATTTCAGTTTCGTGGAATCTAGGTAGAATCACAGTTTCCATGGTAATACTTTTTTAAGCGAATGCTAGAAATATGAGTCTTAAATTACAAGTAATTTTATTATCTTTTCTGTTACTTCAGATGCTTCTGTTAGTAGTGGGTTAATTTCGATTTTGCCGATGCTTTTATCATTAAACTAGCACCGATTTTCTAATTAATGCAAAGTTATATCATATCTTTCTCCAATTTTATTGAGCGTCAAAGGGTTTCGGCTGCTTTTCTTATGGCCAGCTGCCTGTCTGAAGCAAACCATTCTTTGGAATGGAAGGTATCACTTACTCTTATGTCCATTTTTCGACTGAAGCAGTAAATATTGGAATAAAAACAAACCGTGGTAAATAAAACTTAAATTGAGAATGTGTCATAATCATGAGGTGCTGTCAAATTATAAAAAAATATCATAATTAGTTCAGCTGTTTAATAAATATGAATTGGAATAAAACAGCAATAGAATTTAGTAACGCCATTTATTAAGGAATTTAAAACGTCATGGTTAAATTTTAAAAGCCACGTGTTATGGATTGTTTGGTTGCGGTGCCTTTTGTTCTCCATAACCGTGTTGTTTTGTATTGTTATTAAGTTCACATCGTCTCAAAATATTATGTTCAAAGTATAATTTTTACATTATCAACTACCTCACAATCAATACTACCGAACTTTTCCAGAGCTACATTGATATGAAAATTAGATCGCCAAAAAAGCGAGTGACATCACTTTAACGTTTCAATTTCTATTGTACATTTTCCTGTCTGGAAACTTCGAGAATAGACATACATTCCCAGTTAAATAAAATCTTTGATCTCTTAGTTTCAGGGCCAAGAGGCTTTTCTTAGGTACTCAGACTATGGAATATTTCTCAGATATGCCAATTTCAGCTAAAGCATTTTTGTTTGGTTTATATTATGTCTATTTGTTTTTGAGGGTCTAACAATGATACACAAGATTACAAAGCGTAAAAATTTAAACAATTATATTTAAATTATTGCATTTGTAGTTGCTGTTTCGACAGGGTTCACGTTTGTTTAAATACCACAGTTCAAAATTTCAATTGTAGTATTAAAAATAATCTCGGTTTGAAAGCATAAGAATTGTAGGCACAACGAACTTATTCAGTCGAGAATTATTTTGAACGTATTTTAATAGACATTATTGTAAAAGAAATCTACAGTCAACAAGGTCGATGTGACACCAGTACATCATATAAATAAAAAATATGTAAAAAGCCGGCGATAAACGAAATACCGAACGTATGTCACGAGTGCCCTGCTTTAGATAACAGTATCAAAACGCTTTCCTGACATAGTTTATTTCAGAGAATTGCAAAACATTTTAGAGAGACAGCTGAACGAAAGTGATAATTTTTGTATTTTTTGGTATTGCCGCTGCGTACCTACTTGAATTTGTACTAGTAACACAAAGAACAATGGCAGAAACATATTTACCTAAAACTTAAGCGTTTAAAAAATCGAGTCACAGTAAACTTAATCAAAAAAATTTCTATGATTTATCATTACACCACCATGTGTTGTATAAGTCTTATAAGAGATAAGATATTTTTGAAGATTTTATTTGACCTAAGTACGTAATGTCAGATTCGCCATCACGTATAACTGACTAGGGATGCGATGTGGCAATATTATATTATGGAACAATTTATCGATAATCGATTCTTATAGGTTTGGCTGAAATATTTACCGAAGGTTCACTATTATGATTATGAATTTGCTTCTGCCCACGTCTTCACTCGCACGGTAGAGTGACTGAATCAACATAATTAGAAATGATTTAAAATATTTTTGACTCTCTTTAAACGATTTTAAACACACTAAAGAAATAGAATATAGTTACGTTATTTTCCACTACAGTGTGATGAGAAAAATACATTGTCATTGATAACGGCACATAAATAGACATACATCGATATTTTCAAAATGTCGATACGTCGTCGTTTAGTACATATATCTTAATCTGTGGTTAAGATCCTGTCAAGTTCCGGACTCACCACGTTTGTTATTTTATTTTTGTTTAATTTAGTGTTAAACTCGAATAGATGTTATGCTTTTATTTTTTTTATTTCATATACTGTAATAATAATGAAAATAATATTTTCGGCTATCTGACACACAACGCCATCTAGTTTCAAACAAAACATTAACAATATGTTAGTACTTAACCTCGAAACATTCAAAATCCAATATCTTTTTTCCTAGACTTCTTTCGCAAGTAATTTTGATATGAGAATGGTCAAGAATAAATTCTCAAGTGCTAAGGATTTTTTGATATTTAAACGCTAACATTTCAGTTCAAATAAAATTATGTATGGGGACCTGCCATTGTCCTTTACGTGTAGAGAAAATGGCTATTAAGAATTTTAAGTATATAATAATTTTAAGTATATTTTGAATTTTGATCCTTTTAATGTCTTGTTCTTTTATCGACCAGTACAACTTGAACTATCATTGTATAGATTTTTTGCCACGGCACGACAAAATATACACTGGACATCTATGATAATAGTTTTATGTAGCCATGCTTTCATATTTTTTTTAATTTATGGCATAATATACATCACTTATTCTTGTGGAGAAACGGGTGTCATGTCCCTCCAACACAAAGGGCGACCAAGACCAGGCAAGGTGATCATGCCTGGCGGGCCGCGGCCCAACGGTTGATGTTGGGAAGTTGTATATATTATGCTAATCAGCGAGGGAATTCTTTATATCGCGATACAGGATTAGCAATTCTTATTTTAGTAGTTACTCCGTAGTTCGGTGTGTCTTCATTAGATGGCGCTGTAGTATGTTTATGTGGGAGTCGCCACATTCTCAAACTTCCTAGAATACGATTCACAAGTTATTAAACAACAGTCATTGAAAAATTTACTTATGTAGCCGATACTATTTTTTAATATGCATCTGTAAGTCAGTGTCCAATATATTTTTGAATGAAACACACGCATTTCAACCCAAAGTAACCAACACTCCACTTTAACCACTGCGACAAATGGTCCAAATTCGAGCTGCATCCCGTAACAGCAACCTAAGTCGGCTGTCGATATTTGGTCGCCGACAACAAAAGAAGTAGATAAGAGCCTGGTCAAGAGTGCAAGTTATTTTCACAAATTCTTTGTGTTTTAATATAAATTAATTTCAATACGATGTACGAGTTTATTAATTATTATTAAATTATAATATTTATAATCCATAGGAGAACAAATCTTAGCGAAAAGCCACTACCGAACGTTGAAACTCACAGAAGGTCAAATGTAGGTCATGAGCCAGAAAAGTAATTCGAATTGTAACCAACGTTGATTGCAAGTATGTGTCCAATGTGTACTGACAATCACACTCTTGGGCATTGCAAGGAGTTTAGTAAACAATCACCGGTTCAAAGAGTTACAATTAACAAAAAAATCTGTGCCTCAATTGCTTTGCAGATGGACATTTAGTAAGGCAATGTCCAATATACTATCGGTTATGCAAAAACCGTCATCAGTTACTTCTTCACGAAAATAAACGCAACAACACATGGGAGTCGGAGACAATAAGCAAAATTGAAAAAAAACACAAATAATACAAACACGAAGATATTACGAGGATAGATAGATACATATAGATCCAAAACAGAGCTTATTAGCAACAGAAATCGTACAAGTGTGAAGATAGACACAACTAAATTGAGAGCTTTAATTGATCAAGGATCAAAAGAAAGTTTTATAAGTAAGTGAGCAGTACAGCAACTCAAGGCCGAAAGTTATCCTGCCAGATGTACAGCCACGCTACGAACATTAAGAGGCAAGCATCAATGAAAAGTGTTGCAAGAACGGGGAAAATATTCCTTTTGAGAAACACAAGCGAAGTAGTTTTGTTATCATAGGACATTGTTGTGTTGTCACTTGTCACCAAAATCCAGTTGAAGAGTTTATTACTGTGACAAATATTTTACTGTTATTCTTCTGGTCTCGAGAATCTTTTGTGATTTGTAGCAAAAGCGCTAAAGGTATTCATCTGAATACATGACAATCTTGACACAGTGAACGTGAAAAAACGATTGTAAAACTTACTTGTCTCAAAGCTGTTATTAGTCTAAATTTTGTTGTTTACATGTTTTAGGCTTTAGTTAGTCTTGATATAAACGTTGATACTAAAAACATTATCTTCATGCAGCACCCTCTCAACTCGACTTCAACTCGCACTGGGTCCATGTTTATTAAACAACTCGCGCAGACGAAATGATAAAGTTCCAGCTATATTTAACAATTGTGTTATCGTCAAAACATTGTATAATACTGTTTTTTATTTCCGTCAGAGATTTGCTATCATAATGTTATTTGTCATCGCGGATTGTTAATATATCAAACTACTCAATTTTCCAAGCATACAATTTAGTTTTAAGGACATTACAGATGGAAGATGTATCTTCATAACATTTTTTTTTTATAATAATAATAACTTGATACATCTTACGCAAGGTCGCCTGATGTCATACTAAACAGAGCCTGTACTGAGGCAACCAGACCATAAGTATTCGTTAGTAACTGGTTAAATTTAATAATCATTATAATAAGTACTTAAGTTGCATGATTTTCTGAGTACAACTGGGTTGACAGCGTAACTATAGTGTAATAATTGAGCTATGAAGTGCAAAATTACCTTCAAATCGATCTAGTGGTAACGGAGTTTTGTCCTACTTAAGTATTGGACATATGTATATGTTAATCTGTCATAGTACTGGAAATCTTAGGCAAAGACATTTCAGGGTTATGAATTTTACTTAGTCAAAATTCAACAAACAGGCAATTCCAAGCTTGTGAAGGCTCAAAATGTTTTTTACTCTAACAGAGACAGGACCTAAATTCTGTACTACAACATAAAATATGATTAAATATACGTAACTATAAGCGTTCATCTTTGACGCGCTGTCGTCGGGGTCTACGTGACGAAATGCAAGTATCGATAGTGACCTGTTGAATGTAACCGGCTTTACATAACGTCATAGTCGT